GAAAGCCCAGAGGAGCTGCCCCCCACTCACAGCTATGCCATGAAGCCAACGCGTCGGGTTTGGTGCCCCAGCCAAAACCTTGCAACAGATGGTGCATTATTCCTCGGGATGTTCCTCCCTGTGTGCCATTCGCGAGCAAGGGGAGAATTCTCTAAAATTAGGTCACTTGGGCACGGTCTTCTGTTTCATGTGGGGTGCGCAGGTCCCTTCCCCTGCTCTGGCACGAGGCGGGGAGCACCGAGTATCCGAAGAAAGGATGAAGTGACCAGAGAGGGACAAAGAGCTCCCTGGGCAGGTAAACTGAAAGCAGCAGAAGGATGCTCACATTTCAGCGAGCTCTCATCCATTCCAGATGTCCATCCATTCACCTCCCTTAATATCCTCGTGCCCAGGTGCAACAAAACACTCAGACACGTGTTAAAGCTCAGCCAGCCCCAGCGCCCGGCACAGCTGCGTGATGCCTCCGGGCTGCGTCAGGAACGCCTCTCCGGGGAAGATTGGAATCATACTGCCTCGGAGCTGGGCTTTGACATTAGTTGGAGAAAATTATCAGCTGACAGTCAGCTGAGGAAGTCTCTGCTGCTGTTTTCAAGGGTTCGAGAGGAGCATTAGCACAGCTTCCCTTGAAACGCATCAGGCCCTTGATACTGGTGCCAGGTAAGCATCTGGGAGCCATCAGAAACCAGTGAGTCAGCAGAACCCGACTCCTTAACGCGCTGGAAAGCCTGTCCAAACTGGGGACAGGGGGGAGGCTGCCTTCTGGGGTCTGAGGAAGTTAAAAAGCAGCACCGGCCTTTGGAAAAGATTCTTTTAGAAAGCTCTTTCCCCGGCTGATGGATGGCATCTGTATTTCACAGAAAGCAGAAGAGCTGGTGGCATTTGGAGCCTGGCACGCGGTGCTGCCGGCTAAAGCCACGCTCAGGCTGGCTTCTGTGCTCCATCGTACCCTCGCTTCAGCTTATTCCTTACGAGCATTGATCTGTAACTGCCTCCCTGGTAAAGCACACAAGTGGGTGTCTGCTGCTTGGCTACAGATGACCTTTGTGGCTAAAACATCCCAGGAACTGGGGAGTTATAGATGGAACAAGCTGACAAGGCAGGAAAATGCAAAAGTTAACTCAGGATACCAGCAAAGCGTCTAAAACCGCAAAGCTGAGGTGAGTTAGCTTAGGATCAGCTTCTAACCTGAGTCAGCCTGGGATCAGCTTCTAACCTGTGCAGAGAAATCCCGTGATAAAGCCAGAACACACTTCATGCATTAAACCCCAGGTTCTCTGTTTAACTGAGATGCACAAGTCAAGCTTTGAAGAATTGTGTGGGCTTCAAAAGAAAAGCGGGATGACACGTTCCTTGACGCAGGACGTACCGTTGCCTGCACAGAACACACAATGCATTCAGCATCCTCAGGGCCACGGGCCAAAACATCTGGATCGTGCATTACAATCCACTCCCACAGAGCTGAAGTGGGTGAGTTTTTACGCAAAACCACACGGAAAACCCGCTGGTAACAGACACAACATGTGGCGACACTGTGAAATTCCTTTTAGGCGGGACTTTAGAGCAGGGTTGCACAAACTCAGGCTTCCTGGAGCAGACTATAGGTGTGCCCCCGGGCAGTCAGTCAGCTATTCCTGACTGCTGCAGCATCCCTTGGATATTTCCTATTTGTGCAGAAAGCCACTCCTGTGCTTGCAAACTCCTCCCCATTCATTCAAAATTAATCTTTATTAATCTTGCATTAACTTCTACAAAGCATCCATAAGGGAAGCTCAGACAGAACTGGGCTATTTATCCCATGCAGGCAACTTTTTGGAGGAGTTATTCAAATTGTGTCTGCTTAAACAGAGACATTTCTTGCACACCCTCCCACCCCCAAAACCGCATTTCAGAAGCAGGGACCAAACTCACACTTACCTCGCCGAGTGCTTCCAAGTCCCCAGGAAATTGTAGCTTCTGCTTGTGGAAAATAAATTATATACCTGAAATATTTAAAACTAGGAGGGGAAAGGATGAAGTGAGCCTGAGGAGGGGTGAGGGGTGGAAGGTCCCAGCTCAGCAGCTCGTACCGACTGCAGCCTCCCCGAGCTCCCCAGTGGTATTTATGCTCTCCAGGCAAAGAGGACAACCCTGGATCATCCCGCCTGGCAGCGGGCCGGGAGGAATAATGAAAAGAAAAGGGGGGAGGGGGAAAAAAAAAAAGAAAAAAAAAAAAAAAGAAAAAAAAAACCACGAAAAGGAGGCAGGAGCAAGGCGCAGGGGGGTGTCGCTTGGGATGGCGGCGGTTTGAGGATTCATTGGGGCTCGGCTAAGGAGGACCATCCTCCCG